TCCCAGGTCTTTTTCAGAAATGCCAAGATAGATTAAATAATACCTCCAGGGATACTGTGTAAATGTGTGAAGAGGGGGAATTAAGAATGTTGATTATTGTATTAAACGATTTCAATTTAATGCCATGGGTTGTGAACAGTGCTAATTTTTCAGTTAAAATTTACTGTGCGGACACCGCACAATTTGAAAACTTTTTCTGTGCGGCAAATAAGGAAAATTATAAGCAACTTCTTACAAGTGTGCGCACTACTTACAAAATGTTAATTTTTTCTGTGCGACATCCGCACATCTGTTCAAAAGAAAATGCGCAAAATTTTGTTTCTGTGCGCTGCGCACAGTCCACACAGCGAAAAATAATCACTGATTGCGAATATGTAACAAACCAAATATCACCCAAAAATCGGTTCCTCTCAAAATTATAATTCCGATATTTTTTTTGTAATAATGAATCTTATATTTTTTTTCTTGTACAAATAAAGAAAAAAAAACGAAATTAGTAAAAATCGGCAAATACTGTCGCTATAGATTTGTTTATTTGCGAATCGTGTCAAATGTTTAAAAATTAGAGGCTTTCTATGGGAAAGGCTTATTACAGATGTTTGAAACGTATAGTATAAACAGTAAACGCGAAGAAAGCCTTCCGTTATTTTGTAATATTTTGCCTAACAGGAACGAAAATTCTATAGATAAGTGTAAAAACATTACGACCATGATTTACGAAGCTCTTAGTAACATAGATAATACTAAATTTTCAGCAAAAAAAAAAAAGAGAAGTGCGTTTGAGAAAAACTTTGATCGGTCAAAAAGAGTGGCGAACTTAGAAGATTTGAAAAATACTAAAAAACATGAAACGGACATAACGTAGATACTTTTCTAATGGCAATAGACACGTTTTAATGTCTAAAAATTTGTATATTTTCATGAGTTTCAATTAATTCTTATAATGAAATAAACAACTTCGAGATATAAATGAAATTGTACAAGAAAGATTAGAAATGCAATAATTTAATTTAGGCTTTAACTACTCATGATAATTCGAAGTTGCATGTACAATCAATAAATTATATTCGTTTAAGAAAACATCTTTTTGCATTGTCTTTATAAAAAATAATGTGTAAATGGAAAGAAACAAATATCGAGATTCATTTTTTGTTTTTTCATCCAGTCAAAACTCGAGATAACGAATTTTTATATAGCGAATGTTTTGATATAGTGAAAAAATTTTTTACCGTATCGTCGCGAAATAACGCCCGGGGCGTTATTTAACTTTCTTCTGATATCCAAATATTTCCATATATTGAAGGTATTTGACCAGCAGGTTATCAACTTATCAGAGCGCTGCTATTTAAGTTTAATTATTCTAGCAGGATCTGATTTTTGGGTGATGCTAGGTAGGTTTGAATATGTTATCGATTGAGTTCCTTTTAATAAATTGGATGGCACTCAGAAAACCGACAAAGGATTTTAACAACATGGTTGGACTATTTGATTTTAGGACGAGATGGCAAGTTTACGCATTTATGTGCACCACATAAAGTAGAGCATAGAAAATTACCTGGTTCTCACAATTCGTTAGATTTTTAAACAAAGTTCTATTCTTATATCATTATTGCATTGGTGTAAACCGACTCTAAAGTATATGGACTAACTCAATACCAAACAACCAACGAACATGCAGTGGTATATGCAATTTATTATGAGAAATTATAAATATGGAGAATGTAAAAATTGTAAACATTATAACACTGAAAATAACATGGTGCTTGGGGCGCGACTCTCGAAGAACAAGCCAAGGATGCGCAAGTTGGAAACAAAATGTGGATAATTGCAATGAATGTTATCGAGTGGTTTCCTTTTAATAAACTAAATAACATTAAAAAGATTGATGAAAAATTATCAGCAATACGGTTAGACGAATACGAATGATTTCGGATGAACATAAGAGATATACACGTAAAGTACACCACCTTAGAGTGACAGTTATTCTTGGTTCTAATAATTCGTTAAACTTTTTAGACGTAGGTTGATAATTTTTAATTGCAAATCGATAAAAATCGAACGTTAAAACGTGATATAATATATGGACATTGACCAACAATGAATACGTATATGTTAGTATTTGATGAATTCAGTAAGAAAAGTAGTTCTAATTGAATATGTGCGCCATCCACAAATTATAATACTTTAATCGCCTGGTGTCTAAAAGCAAGTGAATATAAAATAATTATTGATTATATTAAGGAATTTCAACTTAATGCTACAAAATACGAAGATGTCATTGAATGAATTACATTTGATAAATTAGATTACGTTCAGATATTGACAATAAATAAGTGGTCTGCGATTTGGTTAGACGAAATACGAATTATTTCATGTCTAGTTGTACAAAAAGAATCGGTATAACAAACCGAAATCCCGAGCAACCATCAATCTGATAATCACTGCTAATTAAGGAATTTGTGCACCTGCGGGTATCTGAATTAATAACTGCAAAGTTGAACAAAATCAAGCTAAAATCTTTTTCATTCGAAGCTAAACGTGTAAGTACAATATGAAAAAAATTTGTTATAGCAAACTTTCTAAAAATAAATTTAATACTAATTAACGGATCATTAATAGATTTAGTAATTCACAAAAACTAAGAAGAGTTATAAAATTTAATACTTCCGGACATTAATTTAGAAATTTTCTTTTAATAAATTTTTAAAATAAATGGTTCAACCAATACTTGACGAGAAAGATGAAAAAATAAAATTTTTTAAAAAATATTGGAAGTATGATGGCCTTCATGTAATTTCACTTACAAAGGCGGGTTTAAGAGGAGGTAAATCTATTATTAAATGTCTATAGTAGAATAAAAGTTTTATGTCTTACCAATACGTAAAAATTTAGACAATCAAGATGAAATGTCTATTGAATTTGGATTAGATGAAAAATTGAAAAGATATTATTTATTTGGAGTGTATGATGGTCATGGAGGTATTAAATAATATTGTCTTCCAAAAATTCATATTTAAATAAAAGATCGAATTAATAATTTCTTTTATAAATAGAACAAGGAGATCAAATTTCGGAAGATTGTGCTAAACATTTGCCAAAATATATTGCTAATCATTTACGTGTATTACCAACGGTTGAAAATGGGGAAATGATTAAAAAATGCTATAAAAAAGGGATATGATGACACTGAAAACTATTTTAAAACACTTGACGTTAAAGGTATAAAAGGAAATAAAGTTCGAATGTCCGGTACAACGGCATTAACGGTTATGATGACACCTAAAAAAAATTTATATATTGTAAGAATATCAATATTATTGTTATCGTTATTATTATTTCAGTATTGATTTTTTCTTTGAAATAATCAGGCATTTGCTGGTGACTCGTCTGTATTTATAATGTCATCAAATAAGTCAACAAGAGTTAATATAGAACATAATTGTCACAATAAAAGTATGTAATTGACCTAGTAAGAACAATAATTCAAGTTAGAGCTATAGTTAGTATTTAATAATTGATTATTATTTTAATTAATTTAGGCGAACTATCGAGACTTAGAGCCCAAAGACCAAAGGGTTTCATGTATACTATAAAAGCACGTTCTGGTCATAAGTATTTAAGAGGCAAGTATTTCAATACGTCTATTTATATTTAAGATACACTAATTATTAACTTAAGATCTTTTTTATTAAAGTTAAAGATGATTTATCTAATGAAATACAATATACTCGCTCTTTAAGCGATTTTTATATTAAAAGCTTTTTTTCAGAAGGCCTAATTGGTATTATGAAGTTATATATAAGAGGGTGAATAAAATATTTTAAGCATTGCTATGTTTATTTATATAATTATTAATCTGTTTTCAGTTAGACTTAAACAGTGCTGAAATATTTTTCATTCACCTGTATTTATCGTAATTAAAATATACATTTATTAATCCGAGACTTACATTTTAATATTAATAGCTGAACCTGAGATAATTGATAAAGTTTATCCGGCATCCAGTCTTGATTTACTTGTGCTTGCTTCTGATGGTATAATCTACAGTTCTTCTCTATTTATATAGTTTCTTACATCTAATTATTTAAAATATCCTAAATAATTAGGCATCACGGATCGTTTCAAAATATTTAAAAAACACCCTACGGAGATTTATTTAAGTTTTCTAAAAAAGCACAAAGGAGATCCGGACCGATTTGTTAGAGCATGCGATGGAATGATTGAATTATGTGACACTATAACTGAAAAGCGTATTTGTGTAGATGATATGTCTATTATAATTATTATAATTTTAAATGGAAAATCTGAAGATGAGTGGTATCACGCTGTTACGAAAAATGCTGAGAACCTTGATGATTGGATTCACGCAAGTGAAGAAGAAGATTTATCAGAAATCGATGATCAGGACATTTATGACAAACATTCTAATGAAGTTGATGACTTTCTAGTTTCAGTACCGTTAACAACAATATCAACTGGATATTATGATGAAGATTCTGCAATGAATTTTACTATTTCTGACGATGATGATTTCGATTGAGTTACTTTCTCCTTTTTATTATCCTAAAAAAAACGATAGTTTGAGCTTAAAAAACTTTTATTAGAATAAAGCTCATTTAAGGTATCTACACTCTTCCCTCGTTATAACGGAGTGATTTGACTGGAAATTTTTATCCGTTATAATTAAAATATTCTAGAGAATTACTCCGTTATAGTAAGAAATCTACTATAACGGGGTCCGTTATAACGAGGGTAGAGTGTATATTACATTTAAATTAGTAGCATAAGAATTGTTTTTCTCTTTAGAATACCCTAGTTAAGGCTTTATCTAAATTTTACGCTCGTTCTTGATTTTCATTTCACATTCCAATATTATTAACAAATCAAGACACCATTCCCTAATGTATAATATAAATGCGGTCTTTTTGCTTTAATAAATAATATCTTAATACAAAAATTTATGAAATCATAATGCAAGGATAATTCAAGGATTAACGCATGTATAAATTAAGTTTCAACCTTTTTTTGTTTTAATAAGGTTAACTAAAATCCAACTCAATATGCATTTGACGTATTTATGTTGTTTGTTTATTGATTCCTGTCAATTTAGAATCGAACATATCATTTATTAATCAAAAATAACGTACTTCATTTTGAAATCGGTAGATATTTTAAGTGGAAACGGAATTTAAGTGGATTTGGTTTAAGTGGCAACGGAATTTAAGTGGATTTGGTTTAGGTGGAAACGGAATTTAAGCGGATTTGGAATTTTTTAGGATTTTAGTGTTAGAGTGTAGGTTATATTAAATAAGGATATTGTTAAATATCGCAGGTTGCTATATCGCAGGTTAATATGATCAACCAATTAGATCACAGGATCTTGTGTAACAAAATTGAACAAAAAATTAGAAAAAATTAAGAAAAAAGTCAAAGTTTTAAATATCTCAAAATTTTATTATGTAAACTAGTCTTGGGCTTCTAATTAAAAATTTTCAGCACTTAATTTTGCATATATTTATATCTTCTAATACTAGCTCAAACTCTAACCCTAACTAATAATAATTTTGATTTTTTTTTTAAATGTATATTAACCTGCGATATCACAACCTGCTAAATTTAACAAATTTCTAAAATAAATTCTACCCTAAAATTGTATTATTAAAAATTCCAAACCCACCTAAATTCTGTTTCCACTTATAACATGTATATATCTGCAATTTAAAAATAATTAATACTAAATATAATCGATACTGTCTAAATGCATACTTTTTAATTGTACAGTATACTATTTTTATTTTCATAATTATTAATTATAAATACATAATTTCTCTATTTGCATAATGCATAAAAATATTTATTTTTTTTGATAATAAATAAAACCTAATTGTATAATAAATATCTTATATAGATCGATCAACTATTCCCAATAGTTACTTGAACCAACTTTTTGCTAAAAGCAAGTTAAAGACTCAAAGTCAAAAGTACAAGACTATTTAAAGCTTTTCTTTTACAAGTTGTTGTTAATAAAATCTATAGATATGATATATCAAAACACAGGTATTTTGAATATAATTAGGTCTCTCTAAATATATATTTTCTCAATATACAGTCTATAAAAACCTTTCTAATTGCTAGTCTTATTTGGCACCAACTCATATAATACTTATAGATTTTAGTTTCTAAATACAATATCTCTCTAAATGCAAATTTTTTTGGTTATCTCTTGGCTATATATTTAAAGAGATCTGATTGTAGTTTGTAGTAAGATCAAGCTTTTTTTTTGCTTCAAGATATTCAAATTAAAAAAAATTTAAAAATAATAAATAAAAAATAAACTCAAGTATATCAAGAATAGAAAAACTCCTTTTGTAAATTATTTACACAAAATAAACTTTAAAAATATCAAAACAAGAGGTGTGGTAACATAGTGAAGTGGTCAAGTTGTTATCTTCAAGCGGCAGGTCAAGAGTTCAAATCTTATCAATGATAAAAATTTAAAAATTCTGCTTGTGTTATGGCTAACTGTATTCGATGATCAGTTGGGATAGAATATTTGTAACTATAGTTACACTAGCAAGACTAGGAGGTCTAAAATATTCATGTGATATAAGGTTACATGAAGAAATGCAAACTGATAATAGGATAGTGCAAACACAAGATAAGACTCTGAGCTGTGTAAATCTGAAGAACTGTGAATATAGAAGCCTGCTTGGCAAATTCTGAGTAAAAAGGTAGCACAGATCTTCAATAGAGCTACTGTAAAAGTTAGACCCAGAAAACAGAACCCAGATGAACTGAACTAGATGGAATACAGGCATTAGAGTTGTACCCACATCAACCAGACTGCTGCAAATAGAAAAGAGGATCAGGAATCTAGCTAGAGAGTCCTTGCAATTGCAGGCAAGTTGTGGTAATAGTGGAAGATCTACTAGCTGCCCTTCAGAAGATATCTGCCTAGGTGAAGAGAAAAAGTATACAGTTACTGGGTCATCTAACTTGGAAGTTAAGAACCAGAGTTGGGGTTTCTGCTATTAACAAATAGATGAAATCGCTAATATCAACTAGGCCATCATTGAATTGAAGGAAAATAAGTGATTATATATTAGGCTATCTGGATTAGAAATCTGAGTAAGAGAAGCTGGGTTACTAAAGTATTGGCGATATATTGTGAAGTAAGTTCTGGGGTTTGAGTAAACTCCACAAGGATAGAAATAGGTTTGAATAGCGAAGTTCAGTCAAATTGGGATTAAATCGTAGAAAAGAAGCAGGAAAAAGTTTAAGCTTGGGAAAAAACTATAGGCAAAGACCTTGATCTGGTACTACACATACTCTCAGAATAGATAAAACTAAGCTGCAAGTGGTAAGCCACAATCCATATATACCAAACTGAAGTGCAGACTAGATGCAGTATAAAGTAAGAATACTGCAGATTTTGCCAGGTTTACCTCGAGGATAAAGTAGTCCTAAATCAGTTATTCTAAACATGTACTTGTAAGACTAGTTCTAAGAACTGGAGGAAGAGTGCCGATTGATACAGGCCTCAGAGTACTTAGGTGCAGAGGGTTTAAATAGGTAACTTCCTAGTTGGGTTGCAAATATAGCAAATAGTGTAGAATCTAGAAATAGGCAGACTACTTAAATAGGCACTCAAAAGATACAGGTATAACTAAATATACTCTTCAAATATGTATAATAACTGTCCTAGTAAATAAAGCAAAACACGACCAAGAGGTCACCAAAAAAAAATATATATATATATCAAAACAAAAATTATTACAACTTCTTGAACTGGGTTTGGGTCCCATAGCTTATTGGTTAAGCTCCCAAACCTCCACAGACAAGGTCAACGGTTCGAGTCAGGCTGGAGACAAATTAAATAATTTGTTTCTGTAATCTACAGGGGCTATAATCGGATGTGAAGCTCTGTGAAAAGTCCAAGTGCAGTACGAAACCAGAATAAGAAGTTCCTGGAAAGAGACCAGGTTGTGGAGTGAAGGCATTACGTATGACAGCAGTGTCGCAGAAGCTATGCTTTTATTAAAATTTTTTGTAAAAGGGTGCCATCTCCTGCTAGTTATCTTGCACAAGAATGCTTTTAACTTGCTTGCTAAATATACAGAGAAGTTTAGATGAAACACAAAGACCCTTAAACCTTTGTAAAAACTATTACTTGTATAGTTGTCTCTTCTACTTTCTTCAAAAAATTTATATTTTCGTTAGTTGTAAGTTTGGTATGAGTAATCATTAGGAAGAGTTGATGTGTTTAAATATTTTAAAATTTAAAAAATATAGATTATAAATATATTTATAATAATTTTTTAAACAAATTTAGCTAAAAAAGCCTATAGATTAAGAGATATATTGAAATATTTGTATGAAAAAGTTAAATAAGTTTTTTTTTTTTTTTTTTTTTTTTGGTATTAAGGTGGCCTCTTGGCCGGCTCCTTTTATTCGGTTATAGTTAACTTTACAA